GATGCTGATGTAATGCTGTAATGCATGTTACCTCATGTAAGAACAAGTAAATTTAATTATTTCAGGCCAAACCCTGCATGAATAATTTAGACACCTCTGAAGGACACCAAATGGTGATCTACATGTCTGCTTCTCCCTGGAATCTATAGGGAACTGAGGCACTTATGAGCAATTTAGGAGGAATGGCTCCTCTCCCTCCTCTTCTCCCCAGGGCTCTGAAAATTTTAAGTCACATTGTAGCTGGCCTTTAATGTGTTCTGCATTGGTTAACCCTCAAACTGAAATGTTCATTTTCAGGCTTGTCAGCTGAAGGAAATGTGTACTGCAGATTTTGTAAGAATGCAATAAAAATGGTGAATTTTTAAAACAAGGAAGAAAAACAAATGGAGAAAAAAGAAGATTGAGGAGAAGAAATTACTGTTGCATACATACATATAAGCAATTTTTGTTAAAAAAATAAGAAAGGAATCAAATAGGAGTTTTACTAAGCATGATACCAAAATTGTTAGCTTATAGTGAGTTGCAAAGAATGTGAATTGGTGCTACAACATATATGCAAGTAGAATAAGTTGTTGACAGAGAATTTGGAAATATTCTTAGGGAATATGCTCTGTGCTTTAAGTTTGACATACACCAGGAGTAATTTGGGAGTTATTTAATAGGCCTTAACAACACAGAACATAATTATAAGAACTCTTGCAAATTTAAATATTCCGTGGTGATGTCATGCATTGTCTTTAGTGCTTTCAGGTAGATAATATAGTTATAATAGTACAGAAAGACAAAGAAGCTTTATTCCCACTGTATCTTGTGGAAAAAAATGGTCTTTTGTGTTTTTATGGTACATTATAGAATACAGCTTAGTGCTTTTCTCTGCTGAGTTGTAGTAACTAAAAAGCATTGTTTCGGTAGTAAATAATCAGAGGCAGAGATAAATCAAATCTGACATCTACTATGCCTCTGGCTGTTGCTGGGGGTGGAAAAGAAAAATTCTCTGCATTTAGAACAGAAAATCAAATGCACATGAAAGTATCCTGTGTGCAGCAGAACATTGATGACAAAATCCAGGGCTTGATTCAAAAGTCAATCCCTCTTAGTCATGTGCTTGATGTAAAGCACATGTTGATTAAGGTCACTGCTTACATGAACTGGGAATTGGGTAGTTGTTCTTAAAAGCTTTTTTTTTTTTTTCTGTTTTTTCCCCTTTTTTTTCCTTTTCCAGAGGATTAGCAAAGTCCAGGTAGCAAATAAATCTCAGATCACCCATTAGCACCAGAGAAACATTATTTCAATGGCTGTCATGATGTGTCAGCATTTGTATCAGGCATCTCACTTTCCATAACAAAATAGTTGCATGTTCTAAACATTGAAAATACCTAAATACCTTTTAAAGTATGTATTTTCCAATCTCAAAGCTAAAAGAAGTGGCAATATGTGTAAATCAGCAATTTGGTCAAAAATGTTTTTCTAAAAATAATGATAATCTGATGTTGGTCTGGAACATGATGTTCAGATTTGAAAAGTGGCAGTTTTGTGCTTAAGTGCAAAGGACAAACCTCTCTCCCCCTTTTCCTGGAGTAGGTAACACTACTTGTCAGGTTTAATGCATTATGGTCAGTGCAGTATCCAGCACTGTCAAATTTTGGCATGGTTGAGAATCCGTCTTTCTTGAACTGATTGAAATGAATATAGACATGGAAATGTTATGCACTCAATGAAAGGAGAAAGAAAAGCAGAGTATACGTGGTTACATCGTTTTCTTTAAACAAAAGACAGGGGTTTTTTTCCATAATCGTATTTGTTCCAGAAGTAAATATATAGTCTCAAATGAAGAAACTATTTTTATGGCCTGTGGAGATTATTTATTTAGCTAAAATCAGGCCTGTTTCCAGAAAACTTTCAGTGCAGCAATAAAAACTTTTGCATTTTGGCCTACTCTAATTTATTCACAGCCTGAAGACCCAGTGCTCACAATTGGTTTTCTTGTTTCACACGAAATCTGGGTAATTGTACCCATCAGTCCGAATGCTGTCGGTTTATTTTAGAAACAATATTTATATCTAGGATTTTGCAGATGCCAGAAGGAACATTTCAGCCATGCTGAATGCCATATTGTTATGGGGTGGGGGGGAAATTCTACCCTGGGGCAAATGACAGGTTCACGTGCAGGAGCTTCTCCTGCCTTGCCTGTGTTGTCACATGCCAAAATTCAACAGGCAGAACGTGGTCTCATTGTCACCCAACACCTGTAGTGGCCTTCAGGGCCCTTCAGACACATCCTAAAGCACACAGACAGTGATCACCAAAGCCAACAGACTCATTTACATTAGGGGAGATTTGAGCTTATTTAATTATTTGTCTATATTTTCAAATGCAAAAGTAAGTATGTTCCATCTTTCTTTTTTTTTTTTTCCCCTCCCCGAACTATTTGATATAATGCAGAGTTCAAAAGTATCACATTAATTGTGTAAAATTAAACCCACATTAATTGTGTAAAAAATTAAACCCACATTGTGTAAAAAATTAAACCCACATTAATTGTGTAAAATTAAACATGGGCATCTGGAATGCAAGGTGTTTTATCCAAGATTTCTCTACAGAATATACAGATTTGAAGAACGAAATCACTGCACTAAAGCCTTGAAAGAAAAGGAAAAAAGTTCCCTTTAAACTAATTCATGAGGAAAAGATATATGAGTAAAATGTTACTTTTATATTTGTGTACCAAAGTTTATTGGCCTGGATGAGACACTCTCTTTTTATAATGCCATTAATGGAATATTCATAAAAGATTATTAGCGATGCTTTAGCAAACTTCTTTAAGTAATAGATCACTTTTAAAATAAAAAATAAAAAAAAGACTTTATGGATTGCAAAATATACTGAATTGACACTTGCAGTGACTGGAATGCTTTTTTATCCACAGAACATGGGTGGCAGCAGAGTAATCCCCATCCTCCATCCCCCAGCCCCAGCCCCAGCCGTGTGTCTCACCCTTTACCTGGATGCACCACTACGAAGGGTGAGGGAGCTATGGCAGTTTACTCTGCATTCCCATTCACTTGTTGACCTCTTTCCAAAAAAGCCATACTTGCTGATATCTGAGCTCCAAGCTAACAGGAGCAGCCAGGTTATTTCTCACAGAATACATTCTACCACTGCTTAGGTCTTGGTCTCGATTTGCTTGGGTGGATTTAGAGCAGGAGTGATGAACTTGCAGTCTGGTTGGTTGGTTGATCACCAGAATTATCATTTTCTGGTTCTGGTAGAGATGATGGGACTTAGTAAAGAGCCATGTTTCATATGCCACAGTTAAGATGTAGACTGTAAGGCAAACCATCAAAATATGAAGGACAGTTAAAATTAACAATGCAGATTTACAACCAGCCTTGCCGTAATGCATATGAGGTGATTAACTCCTTTTTTAAATTATTGCTCACTGCAAGTGAAGCCAGAATAGCTGGGCTGTTTCTGAGTGAAATGCAGGAAGTTACAGCACCCTGTGCTCCTTCATCATTTGCTGTATTCTGTGGGGAAGGCTCGATCTGTGTGGCACGGTGAGGCACACAGTTTGTACGGGGCACCCACAAGAGAAGACAGTGAGTTGAGTGCTTGCACAAGAGCCTGTGTGAAGGCAGATATTGCTTGGATATTGTCTGAACTTAAGGAATGCAGATCTGAAACAAGAAAAAAGTTTACGTAGTGGCTTTACCCCTGTTCTGCTGTTGCAGGGGGTTTTTGATTTAAAAGAAAGGGGTTTATGTCATCTTTCTCCTAAGTGAAGGGGGATCAGGAGTATATCTGTAACAGCAACAGCATGCCTGGTATTTTATATTCTTCAGAAATTTTATTGTCTAGCAGTTCCTTTGGATCTTTAGGCTGTTGGCACTTGTAGGGGGACTCAGCAGTTGTTCTGTTAAGAGCAGAAATAATGCTGTGGGAGCTTATGGAGCTCTTAAATACAGTCCAGAGGGAAAGTGACAATGGTTATAAAAGGTATAGGATGAGTTTATAGTATGGGTTTTTCTTTTGCTGCTTGGGTTGCCAGCTGTGGAGGGAAGCACTGAGCCCTTTCTCTGTCCCCTTTAGATTAGCTAGCACTGCTAAGCAGCAGCAAAATTTGATTTTGAGAGTTTGAAGGTGTTCCAAGCACAGGCAATCCCTTCTAGGCTTTTCCATAAGAGGAAATGCTCCTGCCTGTACTCACAGTTTATAAAGTAGTAATCCAACATCGAGTTGGATGCAATAGGATGATTTGCAACAGGGTGAAAGGAAGATTTATTAAAGAGACAAGGGCTTTACAGTATTTTCTGTTCATTTCTGATCCATGAGCTAGGAATAATTACTGCATACTTTACTTTCTCTTTCCTGTTTATTGTGTTAGTGTTTTTAATTTCTTTTTCTGTTCAACTGCCACTGATGTCTTGACATGTCTTCCCTTATCAGTCTACACAGAATTAGCTCACTGTGGATGGGAGGCTTATTAGGGTGTCTTGAGCAACAAATGAATCTTAATATATTTTTGCCAGTTCTTATTTTATTTATTTTATTTTATTTTATATTTTATTTTATCTTATTTTATTTTATTCCATATAAATTGTATGCATTAAGTACTCTTACTGTAATGCTCAGAATCTTTGTTGTTCCAGGAAGGATCGATGCAGCACAAATCCTGTACCCTAAGAATTTTAATTGTAATGCTTGTGAATCTTTAATCATCTTGCTCACCTCAAATAATATTAGAATATATTAGTATAAATTACATTAGTATAAATTACATTATCAAAATTATGGAACTGCTTGTGACTAAAGCCTTTTTTCTGACTACCCATACTCACACAGACTTGAAGGTTCCCTGTGTACTAGTTTGAGAGTTTGGAACAGGTGGTAAAATAGGGATGAAAGAGAGAGCTGTGATCTCAGAGGAGATATTAGGCACCAGAAATTATGGTGTTCTTGTTCCAGCTCTTACACTGACTGTGATACTTCCATTTCTATAGCACTTGCCATCTCTGGATCTCAAAGTGGATTATAAAGAATAGTGATTTAAACCTTCCTGCACCTCTAGGAGATAGGTAAGCAATATTATTCCCATTTTACAGATGGAGAAATTGTGATACAGAGAGGCTTAGTGTTTGTTATTTAAAAGCTTATTTATGAACACACATGCATGCACACACAGAGAACTGGAAACAGATGTCAGAACTTTCGTTGCTCTCTTTTTTTAAGTTGAGTCCACCCTCCTTTCCATTTAACCTCTCTGATTTATATTCCCCATCTGTAAAAAGACGGAAACTGGTATAGACATGCAGAGATTTGCTTGCACATAAATTTCTGTGCAGAACCAGAAAAACAGCCAGAAGTTGCCTTTAAAATCCAATGCTTTTTATGTGTTGGCAGAGGATATTTTAAGATTTGGTACAACAATTTTTGTAGGTGGGGAGAGTTGCAGTAGTTCTGCAACTTAAATGCATACTATTTAGTTATTGCTATAAAAGGGCTTGATTGTTTTGTAATATAAGCATGTTAACTGGAGATTAAAAATTTCCAAATGCATCAATTTACATGGCAAAAGGCCAGACACAGCCAGTAGCTCAGTCTCTGCATTATCTGGAAGATGGTGCCACATCAGTACACTGTGTCAGACAGGAGAGGGGCAGTGGTGCTGCATAAAAGCAGTGATTGCCCCAGCTGCATCTCTGCTTATCTTTCTCCCAGCAAAGTCCTACTGTGTCTGTAGTGCAGCACGAGTTCCTCAGTGGCAGGCACCAATCTAGACAACTATGCCTAAATATTTACAAGAGAACTGAAATTATGACTGAACTTTGGGAAAAAAGTTTTAAAGATCCAATATAAGTCTTGTTATTTTTTCTACCATTACTGGAACGATTGTTTCTTGTAATATTTAAAAAATACTCTTTAAAAAATATTTGGATACTGGATTTATCTGATCATTCACTGCACCATGAAGGTTCTGATCTCATTATTCTTAAAAGCATTGTTTAAAAAACATCTTGCAGAAGCTTTTAAAAATTCTTTCTAATTCTGCTACTAATTTGCTACAGAACTGAAACATTGACAACCTCGTCTATTAGATGTTTTATTTTTAACAACACATCTGGCAAATTTCTGTATGTTGAACAGACAGCTTATGCAGAAATGTTTTTCACATTTTTCTGTGTGCACCCTGTAGCATAGCCAGGCTAGATTAGACAAACATCCAACACCCACAGTAACATTTTCCTGTAAGTAATCTAACTTCCAATCTAACTTCCTTGTGATACAGTACCCTGATTTCATACCTTTACTGGTGAATATATATCTAGGAAATAATTATGGCTAATGTATATATTTATGTTAAATGGAACGGAGACTGGATGTGTTTATGTGTCACCACGCAAGCATCAACCTGTACATTGATTGAAAGATTCATTTGAAAGTTAAGATTCCTTTTTGTTTCAGCTGTAAAACTTCACACAGAGAAGCAGACTGAATTTCAGGTAGGGATTTAGTTGATTTGGAGCTAAGGTAACACCTGATTTTATCACTCTAAGTTTTACCAGATAAGAATGGTGCTGATGCTAATTATAATACTTGAGTAAGTGAGTTAGTTCGTTGGTTTAATGTGTGACTGAGATCAGAATTTAACCTGGGGTCTTCCTGAATGCTGGTACAAATCACTTGTTACTTTTGCTCCCAATTACAGTTAAATTAACCAGTGTCTTGAGGTAATACAGCTACTGCAGCTGGTGGATTAGGATATGGCTTTGCTAATGCATTGACCTTCTTCATCTGTGTAACATGAGTTAATTTTCAGCCCGACAGTAAGTGCTGAAATTTGAATTGTAGCACTAATGTACCATCTTTTTCATCTGTCAAGCCAGACTGAAGGGTCATTTAGTGATGAGGATAATGGTTCACTTTGAAAGAGAAGGAAAACTAGCTTCTGAATTTTAGGGGGCATTCTAGATCTTGCTTCAAAAAACAAGCTGAACTAGGGGAAAATTAGCCTGTGACATTCGAGTAATACTTCACCTGTAAGTCTGAATATTTGCCTTATACCGACTCTGTACAGGCACATTGGAATATTTGCCATGACAAGTTAGACAGAATAATAAAACAGCCTATGAAATTTGATATTCAGGCTATCAAGCCTCCAAAAGAGGCTTTCTCTGAAAAGTGAATCAACATTAAACTGTTTGCTATAATGGGAATTTCCAGCATCAGTTTGTGACAAGTTTTGATTGTTTCTCTACACCCTAAGAAACCCTAAACCTAAGAACTGTTGGAGACTGATTTTTTATTTTTGCTCCTCTCAGAAGTGTCTTTCTTTCTTTCCTGCAGCACGGAAAAGGATATGCTAGTCACTTCTACAGGACTTACCTGAAGCAGCATGATTTGCACAAAAGAAAGTCGACCAACAAAAAGCATCAGCTTTCAACTTCATTATCTTGGCCATCCAGTTCTGTGTAACTGAAGGATTTGTGTGCTGTTGGAGACATCCTGGCCAACAATAGGACCTAATTGCTCTCAGCAGGCCTGAGAAATGAGTTGAAATGTGTAGAACTGTAGAAACTTCAGAGGCAACTGATCTTGCCTCTCTGATCAGTGTGTGCCTGTTTACAGCACTATATATCTTTCTCTCTCCAAAATGTCACTGAGCCCTTTAGATGTTTATATTCACCACAAAAAGCCAATCGTACAGATAAAAGAGATGTGCATTATAAATGCAATATCACTGTTTTAAACTTGACTGTTTTATATTATTTTTGTGTGATCAAGTGTTCCCCAAACTATTCCAACTTTACAAGAGAGATTGTGATCATGTTCTTTTCACCTGTGGGTCATAAAAATGTTGTTAATCTGAAGACCCACAAAATTATCAAAGACATTTCTGTAGTTTATACACCGTGTTGCAAAGTGTTTACTGTACTATTTCAAAGCTTCTAAATAAATATAAAATATATATATATTATATTATATATAATTTTCCGAAAAACGTGGTACAACTTAGTTGATTTTTAAATGGATTCATACAGTCTACACCATACACTAAAGCGAGAAGATAATTCAGGGTTCCTAAGCTATCCTTGCTAAAAACAAAAATAAAATAAACCTTTAATAGTACTTCCCCAAAATTCGTATTTTGGTCGATCCTGTTTTTCTTGTTTAAAAAAAAAAACAAAAAAAAAAGCTGTAAGCAACAACATTTTGTCCAAAAAGTTGTAAGGAATTTTCAATGCCAAAGATGCAGCTGTCAATATTACCCCAATGAGCGCTATGTACTATCAGAGGTATAAACCACTCTCCATTATTTTGATTGTGTTTCTATGGTTTTTAATTTGGAATCACAAAACCTTTTCTAAGGCTCTATAAATTCACCTGTATATGTTGTTAAAAAGAACACTGGGTGTCTGTACATTTTGCAATGTAAGATATAATGTAAGTGAAGTTAAGTATTTTAAGAAAATCATCCCAAGCTCATAAATATGTATACCTACATACATACATAAATACATACACACACACACAAACACCCACACATCTCTCTTTAACATAGTTTTGTGAAACTATACAAATATATTGCCTAAAAATATTTCTCTTGTGGCTAGGAATAGTTGTCGATAGAATTCAAATTACAAAGGCAAAGTGTATGCCAGACTCTTTTATCACAAAGGAGATTTCCAATTAGGAACATGGCACATTCTCAGCTGACCCCTGTCCCACGGGAGTTCAAATGGTGTTGGCCACCATCTTTGTTGGGAAAAGGATTAAGCCCTTGCATATAATCTTTATGTTCTGTAATAATTCTGTGGTCTGAAACAGTATCTTAGAGCGTTTCTTTTCTATGAAATATTGAAAAAAGTAAAATTTCGAAGGTAAAGTTTAAAACTACTTTCATGTCCATGGAGTTTAAGTACCATTTACTAAATGTAAAAACCTAGTAAAATTTTTTTCTTTTTTTTTTTTTTGTGCTGTGATTTTTTTTCCCTTACTGTACTTTAATACATCAACTAATGAAAGCAAATGAGAGCACACCTTTGTTGTCAGCCAATGCCTAGCCAAATTCAAACCAATCTCTTCTGATGATTCAATATTAAGTAAAACGAGAGCAAATGTTTCATTGGTTGCAGTGGGATTTGGATCATGCCATTATTTTGGAATTCTGTTGTCCCCACCAATGCTGCCATGGGATGAATGTGTGAGAGGTCACTGCTGTGTCGTAATAGAATTTGGGTTTCTCATTTTTGTTTGTTGGTTCTGGGTTTTTTTTTTTTTTTTGTTCTCTTTAATGGCAGTTTCTATTAGATAGGAGTATATAAATCACCTGTATGAAAGCCATCTTGCTGTGGATCCAAATATACACAGGGAATCCAACATTCCTGATCAAATTCCACGAGTTCTTTGTACAACTAGTGGACTGGGCCCTGATGTTCTTAATTTAATATTCCAAACAATTTAATATGTTAATTAAACACTTTAATGTGCACACCTAGCACGTTTGTATAACGAAAAATTGTTTCATGAGATCCTTTTAAAAATGTGTTTTATACAAAACCTAATTCAAAAATCCCCCAAACAACTTCAATAGCTATTGATTTGAGCAAATCCAACAGTGAAATGTTCCTCCTGCTCCAGGTAGCAGACCTTTTAGTTGCCTACAGGCTTCATTTATTTTATGAAGAAAAGCAATGGGATTTGTGACAAATATTCCATTTAAAGGAGATTGCTAGATTCTTGTGTCTGCTTTTAAAGCAAGAAAGTCCTTGCCATTCTGAAACCTGTTTCTAATTCGGTTTTTAACAGACATATATTGTAATTTATGGTTGTTTTTTGGTCTTTGGGAGGAAAAGGAAATTGTTTAACTTTCTATTTCATGGAAAGCCAAAGTGTTTCTATTTAATGAAACTCTCTTCACATTTTGCATGCCAGTTTTTTCATTTTTTTTCAAAAATTATTAACCATATCATGTCCTGTCATTCATTTCCAAAACTGAACTCTTTCCATCAAGTATGATATACATACAGATTATTAATATTTTTTTTATTCTTATTTGATGTTAAATATCATTGGCATTGGTCCATATATACACAGAAATCCTTGTGACTTCACTGGGATGAACTCAGTTCATCCTAGAGAGCTCCTAAAGGGAGTTATGGTAGGATGCAGAAGTGTCAAGGAAAAGGAAGAATTGAAGTACTGCAGCCTGAGCTTTTGAGATGAAGCTGTAGCTCCTGCTGATTTCCCTTGCTCCCTGTGAGTTTTGGTGCACTAACCTTTGCTGGCACAAGCCTTGGGACACATTAAATCCCAGTACATAGCTGCTGTCCCAAGAGAAGGGCAAATTGGGCAGTGCAGAGGCTCAGTTTGTCCTGTTCCTTTGTTTTAGTGGGCAGGTGGCCACCTCCCTTTGAAATTGCCTTGTTCAGCATCTCCCAAATATTCCATCACACTGCTGGGAGCAGGGGCAGGTCTGTGAATGCCTTCAGACCTCTCCCAGTGTGTGTGTGCCTCCTCCTCTGAGCACAGGTGATGCAAATATTGAAGGACTCTCATCTGCAGGTTGGACCCAACAGTGAACTGAAAGTAATCAGGAAATGTTTAGGCTGGGTATTAAGGGGAAAGATTGATGCCCATAAAACTGAGATGAGGGAGGTTTTGGCATCTTCCTCATTGTAGGTTTTCAAGGACAGTGCAAAAAAAAAAAAAAAAAAACCAACAAAAACCACCTGTAAGGGATGATATAAGTGTAATTAAAGCTGCCTCAGAGAAAAAGCACAGAGAAGGCTCTCAGTCCTGTTGTTCTGTACTGTTCCTGGTGGGGCATGCTGAGCTTTGGAGGGGTTAATCTGTGCACAGCTGTAGGGATAAGAATGTTCTATCCTTCAATTAGTTATTTGAAGCAATATTTATATGTCTCAATTTACCATTTATGAGCATAATAGAACAAGCTGCCTGTGAGAATAACTCTTTGGAGTAAATTAGAGTTCAAGCAGAGAAGATAGGGTCTTATAAAAGAACAATATGGAATCAGGTCTGTGAATATTTTTTTTTTCTTTTTTAAACTCCTGATTAAGATATGTAGCAATAGATTTCTAAGCAGCTTGCCTATTCAAATTCTTCCAAATCAAACTTCAGTTTCTTCCAAAACTTAGAAATACTAACATTTCACTACTTGAAATAGAATTTCAATTTTTTAAAGCAAGTTTTTGCTAACATGCCTATTGAGGGAAGGTATTTCCATGAACGTATTCTTAAATTACTGGAACAAGGTGTAGTAATTTAAATAGTTTTTTTTTTTCATTAGTGTTGTTGCAAAATTAGGTGAAATTAAATACACAGATAAATACAATTTGTAAAGATTCCTGCATTATAGCCTCTATATAGTTGTGAGGGAGATACATGTGTGTGTGTATGTGTGTGTGTGTAACTATAGTTCAAATTCTGGGAAGTTGCCATGGGATTTTTTTCCTTACAGCTCCTATCAGTAAATGTAAACAAAAGGGTAGAAACACACGTTAGGGTACTACAAAAAAAGACTTGTTCCTTAGTGTAGAATGGAGTTTTGCATTCAAGAATTAAATTCAGCCCCTTCTTCATGTGTTAAACCCACAATCAAGCCCACAACTCATTTTTTTTTTTTTACTTCCAAAATGTTACCTGCTCATAGAAGGGGTTTTTTTTCATCCTTTTTTAAAGTAATATCATTCCTCAGGGTAAAGGGTAGATAAATAGATAGTCTTCCTAGGCTGATAAATTGCAATTGCAATTTTGCAAGGCTGTTAAATATTTGTATGTCTTACCTGGAGAAAGCCGATCGTAACCCGCCACTGTTCCATGTTCTTCTAGTCTCAAGTTTTATGGCATTTGGACTTGTGAATTAAAACCTATACAAAGGTGTAGGGGCCAAAATAAGCATCTTTGACATGCATTCAGTTATTGCAATTTGATTGCAAAAAATTGGCATTAGATGTCTATAAAGGGTAGAAAGTTGTTTATTTTGTTCTGTTTGCAGTAATGTAAAAGACAGCCAGTAGGACTTTATTATAATATTGTGCTATGACAAATTCTGAAACTGTGAGTCAAATCCTTTGCACTGATCCCTACAATCATAGATCAAATTCTTCTTAAAGACCTCCTTAATTTTATTTTGTCTCTAAGAAATGGATACGTATATATATATATATATAAACAAATATACACAGCCATTACAATCCATTGTTGAGCATCTGTGTTTTTGTAGATATCCTCATATGTAAGAAATAAGCAAGAACTAACTTGGACAGATTTCTTGAACTGAAATTGTTTTTGAATCTGAATTTGTTAATAAAGTTCATGATATTGACAGACATCAAGAAAAATGAAATCTCTGTGGGTGTAGCTCTCCAGAAGGCAAACGCTTCACTTTTAGGAAGCATCCTGTCAAAAAACTGTATAAATGCAACTGCTGGAAATCTTGCTGAGTCAAGATGAAAGATGCTGTGCTAAAGCTTTCTTGTTCACTGTGTCAGCACTGATTAAAGTGTCCTCTGGATGGTAACCACTTTAGGCAAGCAGAAGATATCAAAAATTGCAAGTGCTATTGAGATAATGTTTACCATAACTGTGGAAGAGAGACAAATAGGTGAATTTATACTGAAATATTGATCTATATCATACAATATGGAAAAAACAGTTAAATCAAACATTTAAGAAAAGACAATGCTTTCAAATACATGCACTTTAATCTTTGAAGTTCATCTGATGCTCAACTCTGAAGCATATTTTGGGTAACTCATCTTTGATTTGCACTAACCCTGGAGAGCAATGTATTGTATGACAAAGCCTTACCACTGCATGGTAAAGGGAATGTAACCAAACCAACCTTAATTTATAGAAATCTTGGATCCAAACATTCAGGCTGCAAAACTGTGCTGTATTTTATATGCATCAGAGCCTAATTCCATTAAAGGTAGTGGCCCAAGTTGCAGTGATATGAAGGAGAGCAAAAGGAAGTTTTCGTTTCTTTCTTTATGCATTTTTAAGCAAGAGCAGCCTGCAGTAAAATTATTTGACATCAGAAAAAGGGAAACTTCACTGGCTTTTCTTTTAAAAAAGCTGCACAATCCAGTTTGGAAATTTGAAACTTTGGACATGGCTATGTGTCAATGTAAAACAGATATTTCCAATAATTTTATCTCAAAGCAAAATAACACGGAATATAAATGAAGTGATATAAATGTTTAGGTTTTCTATTAAGATAAAGACAGAAATGCAGTCCTGAAAAGACAGATTCATGCTTTTATTATGCAGAAGTTCAGACAACTAAAAATTCATTGGAACAGAGTATTCTTACACTGCCCTAGTTGTTGGTTGAAAATGTGAGCAAAACAAGCAAAAAAAAATCAACCTCAACCTCATGGATGTTTCAGAAGGTTTTGCTCTGGAAGGTAACAGATCCTAAGAACATTATCTCCTTTCAGAGTTGGCTGAAAGATGTTTTCTAGCATCGTTGCTGCCCTAACATACTTGGAGTGTAAAAGCAGCCCTCTGAATGGTTTGCACTTTCACCTCAGTGGAGAGTTCTCATTTGTTGAGAATAATCTGGAAAAACGACCTAGATGAAGCCTGATGTCAAAATTGCCTAGTAATTCCATGCCCATCACTACAGCTTTTCTAACCAGGTATCAGAATAATTTAAGGCTGAAATGTTTTGGGATGCTGATGGAAAAGCAGTGGTGTGGCACTGTTCCTATGTGGAAAAAAAAAAAAAAGAGACAAAGAGAGAGAATATTCTCTGCTCTTCCTAGTCTCACAGACATCATTAATTGATACTTAAATAGTGTTTTGTTCAGGAACATAAATACCACAAAAGGAGAAGGATTTCACCATGAGAGCAATATATTTGTTGTGGCTTGTGCTATATTAAAAAAAAAAAGGAAGAATGCAAGCAAACATTCTCATTCTCAGCCCCCTGAAGATGAT